CCCCGCCTGTTGCTCCCGGTCCAGCGGCTTGTCGAGCACCAGCTCGGCGAAGCGGTTGCCGTCGCCCTGCGTCTGCACGTCCAGGGAGAAGTAGCTGTTGGGGGTGATCTCGTAGGTGCGCAGCGAGTTGGTGCCCACGTCGGGGTCGAAGGCGCTCTCCAGGGGGAAGCGGGTGCCCGGCGTGGCGCTCTCCGAGATCTCCACCGTGAGGTCGGGCTCCGGGAAGGAGGGCGGGTTGTCGTTGATGTCCAGCACCTCGATCTCCACCCGGAACAGCTCCAGGGGGTTCTCCAGGAAGACCTCCAGGTGCAGCAGGCAGGAGGGGCTCTGCTTGCAGATCTGCTCCCGGTCGATCTTCTCGTTCACGTAGAGCACCCCGGTCTCCAGGTTGAGATCCAGGTAAGGGCTGCGGGAGTTGGGCACCGTCTGGAAGCGGCGAGCCGAAAGTTTTGTAATGTCCAAGCCCAGGTCCTCGGCGATATTCCCCACGAACGTGCCATGCTCCTGCTCTTCCTGCACGGTGTAATGGAGCTGGCAAAGGGCCCCCTCCACCATCCAGAGCAAGGCAAAGAGGAATAGCACAATCATCTCCAAATGGGGAAAGAGATTCCCCCCTCCCCAACGCCACCTCTTCCTCCTCTTCCAACAGCAGCCACCACCACCACCACCTCCTCCTCCTCCTCCTCCGAAAATACACAGTACAGTGTGTGCGTGTGTGTATGTGTGTGTGCGCGCGCCTGCGAGCGTGCGGATAGAGGGGGATCGGGGGAGGGGGAAGGAGAAGGGGTTTTGATTGGAGGGGGGGTGCTAGATATTATTTCTTCTGATTCATGTCAGGATTTTTTTCTCCCCCATCTCCCTCCTTTTTGTTACGAGTATTATTGTTTCACACGCTGACCAAATGAAGAAGACAGGCGTCCCCACTTCATCTGTGATCTTCGAAATAAACGGCCAACTAATAATAGCTATTAGCTGGATGTATCTATAGATACACAGTAGCCCGCTTTTATTTATTCCGAGAGTCTTGGCACTGCACCGCGGCAGCAGCAGTGGCGGGGGGGGGGGCAGGGGGGGGGAAACACAAACGAGATATTTGCTTCAATGGTATTGTCCTCGGTTTGTCTTCCTGGTGGGAGCTGGAGGGGTAGATGCTGCTGGAAAAGCCGGTGGACATGCCCTCTTCAGATGCGAGAAAAAGGCAGAAAACCGCAAAATTAAAAAAAAATTATAACCCGCAAAAATATTTCATATCAAAAAAGACAGAGAACAGCTCTGCTACCCGAAACTTTCATTCCCTGATTTCTCTGGGATTTCCTCCTTTCATTTAAAAGATTTTGGATTTTGTCTCTTCTATTAATATTGTCTTTCATTTTCTTCTTTTATTGCTATTATTACGTTC